ACTGTAGGCCACTTCGTGCTCTACGACTTCCCAGAACTCCATTCCCGGGCCACATTTTGGATGCCCGGAGCCAACTGTAGGCCACTTCGTGCTCTTCGACTTCCCAGAACTCCATTCCCGGGCCACATTTTGGATGCCCGGAGCCAACTGTAGGCCACTTCGTGCTCTTCGAGTTCCCAGAACTCCATTCCCGGGCCACATTTTGATGCCCGGAGCCAACTGTAGGCCACTTCGTGCTCTTCGACTTCCCAGAACTCCATTCCGGGCACATTTTGAATGCCCGGAGCCAACTGTAGGCCACTTCGTGTTCTTCGAGTTCCCAGAACTCCATTCCCGGGCCACATTTTGAATGCTGAGGCAGGCTGATGCTGAGGCTGAGGCAGGCTGAGGCTGAGGCAGGCTGAGGCTGAGGCCGAGGCTGAAGGCAGACTGAGGCTGAGGCTGAAGCAGGCTGAGGCTGAGGCTGAGGCAGGCTGAGGCTGAGGCTGAGGCAGGCTGATGCTGAGGCAGGCTGAGGCTGAGGCTGAGGCTGATGCAGGCTGAGGCTGAGGCAGGCTGAGGCTGAGGCCGAGGCTGAAGGCAGACTGAGGCTGAGGCTGAAGCAGGCTGAGGCTGAGGCTGAGGCTGAGGCTGAGGCAGGCTGAGGCTGAGGCTGAGGCAGGCTGAGGCTGAGGCTGAGGCTGAGGCAGGCTGAGGCTGAGGCTGAGGCTGATGCAGGCTGAGGCTGAGGCAGGCTGAGGCTGAGGCCGAGGCTGAAGGCAGGCTGAGGCTGAGGCTGAAGCAGGCTGAGGCTGAGGCTGAGGCAGGCTGAGGCTGAGGCTGAGGCTGAGGCAGGCTGATGCTGAGGCAGGCTGAGGCTGAGGCTGAGGCTGATGCAGGCTGAGGCTGAGGCAGGCTGAGGCTGAGGCTGAGGCTGCAGGCTGAGGCTGCTGAGGCTGAGGCTGAGGCTGAGGCAGGCTGAGGCTGAGGCTGAGGCAGGCTGAGGCTGAGGCTGAGGCTGAGGCTGGCTGAGGCTGAGGCTGCTGAGGCTGAGGCTGAGGCTGCGGCTGAGGCTGAGGCTGAGGCTGAGGCAGGCTGAGGCTGAGGCCGAGGCTGAAGGCAGACTGAGGCTGAGGCTGAAGCAGGCTGAGGCTGAGGCTGAGGCAGGCTGAGGCTGAGGCTGAGGCTGAGGCTGAGGCTGAGGCTGAGGCTGAGGCAGGCTCAGGCTGAGGCAGGCTGAGGCTGAGGCCGAGGCTGCAGGCAGACTGAGACTGAGGCTGAGGCAGGCTGAGGCTGAGGCTGAGGCAGGCTGATGCTGAGGCTGAGGCTGAGGCAGGCTGATGCTGAGGCAGGCTGAGGCTGAGGATGAGGCTAAACCAGGCTGAGGCTGAGGCAGGCTGAGGCTGAGGCCGAGGCCGACGGCAGACTGAGGCTGAGGCTGAAGCAGGCTGAGGCTGAGGCAGAGGCAGGCTAAGGCCGAGGCTGAGGCAGGCTGATGCTGGGGCAGGCTGAGGCTGAGGCTGAGGCTGATGCAGGGTGAGGCTGAGGCAGGCTGAGGTTGAGGCCGAGGCTGAAGGCAGACTGATGCTGAGGCTGAAGCAGGCTGAGGCTGAGGCGGAGGCAGGCTGAGGCTGAAGCAGGCTGAGGCTGAGGCTGAGGCAGGCTGAGGCTGAGGCAGGCTGAGGCTGAGGCTGTGACTGCGACTGCCGTTGCCACTGCGACTGTCATGGCGAATTCGACTACGACTGTGAGAACAACAGAATTCTACAACTGGATTCTCATCTGAATCTTAACGGGAATGCTTCCATATATGCTCCTACACATCGCTGTTAGGTTGCTTTGCCGGGATAAGTTTGTTCGGGATCAAGACCATGGACAACTGTCGTGCCCTGGGGCGAACAAACACCGCTCTGCCCTGGAGATGGGCTCGCGAGCTCCGGGAGCCCACGTCGTGAAAAGAACGAGACTTCGGAGGTCTGGATACAAGCCTGCATTGGAAAACCAGAGGGGTAGAATTTGTTCTTCTCCCCCGCCAAGCGACGAGGACTCAATGACCTCTCAGACTGCATACCGCCACAACAATGCTGCCCCGCAGCATGCAACGCGGGAACACCTGGCCAGCGACAAAAAACATGCTGAGGAGGAGGAGAAAGAGAGGACGCTGAGGAAAGCCACGCAAAAGGTCGGCGCTGACCTTGTGGTTGCGCGAGGTCGCCGCGGGAAGGGCTGAACAAGAAGGTGCACAATTTCGACTCCAGACTGGCACCAGTACAGGCTGCAACCGTTTAGCTCGCAACCCAAACTTGGTCCTACCGGCCTGTCCTGGGTGGCAAGCAGTGGCCCCGGAGGAAAGGGAGGAGGAGAAAAGAGGGGGCGAGGACAGAAGCGAGGCGAGGGAGACTGATACTGGCGGTGTGTGTGTGTGTGCATCCCCACATGGCCTAAGCACCATTAATATAGCAATAAGGCATCACATCACGACATGCGGAAGGACTAGCGTAGGAACAGTACACAGTACCAAAAGCAACCTGCAGCCCAAGCGGCCACGCGGCTGATAGCACATGTGCCCGGATTGCGATCGCATGGGAACAAGAAGCAAGCAGGGGAGGGCGGAGAAAGACAGGAAGAAACAGGAAAAAAACAATCACAATAACTATGTGAGAAATAATGTTGACGGTATGCAACTCCGCATCGATTGAATACGGCCCCGCCCGTAGACGAACCGGGTGCGGCCCCCAAAAGTGGGAGCGATCGCCCTCATGCACGCCCGGGCCAAGCAGAAGCTCGGCCCCGCACATCGGAGCAACGCCACGCGCATACAAAAAAGCGAACCCACACATGCACGAGAGCAGGGAGCAGGAAAGGAGGCCTCACAAGTCGACGTTGGAGAAGTGGCCCGAGCCAGGGAGGGCAATCGGGGCGAAGACAATCAGATTGGGGATGCACGGGTGCTCGACCCACTGCCCGGATTCCGAAGCCGACGTCGGGGCTTTGCCACGGACTCTGGAAACGACCGCCACCATGTGAATATGTTAATTGTTTTGCGCAAGCATGCCGTGGCAATCTAAAACGTCACCCCCATAGGCGTGGTGCGGAAGACGGCGCTGGCATCGTAATTGAGGCCATAGCGAGATTTGGAGCCAAATCAAGAAACGAATATAACCTCGGAGGTGGACTCTGTCCCGGCATGGGAGTCGGAGCTTGCGACATAATCGGCGCTGGAGTCGGTGCTGGACCTGGCGTCGGAGGGTGGCTCGGAACTGGCGTCGGATCCGTGGCGCGGCAGGAGAGCCAGCCGGATCGGGGGAGTCGGAGCTGGCGTTGGAACTGGTGCCGGATTCAGTGCTGGGGGTGGAGCCAGAGCTGGCGAAGGAGCTGGTGTCGGAGAGGGGTCGAACATGGTGTCGGAGCTGTCGTGGCAGCAGCACGGGGGATTGGAGTTGGAGGGTCGGCTGGTGTTAGCTCTGGCGCTGGAGTCCGCGCTGGGGTCGGCGCCGAAGCTGGCATCGGAGAGGGGGTCAGTGCTGGCGTCGAAGCCGTGGTAACAGTGGGATGTCACATGGCTTCAGGTTGACAAGCCTCCAAGCCATCAGAATGAGTTGTCCCACAAAGAAGGATAGGGCTTGTTGCACGTCGAAGGTTATGTCAACGTCCGCAGGCGTGAAGGCACAGGCCATTTGACTTCGGGGTAAAAGGCTCCAGCACCAAGAGGATGAATGATCCCACCAAGTGGGATCGAGCATGTTCGGAACTCAATGTTATGTTGACGTCCGTAGGCGTGTGGGGTCAAGGCAATTTCTTCGCAAACTTACGAAAATGCTGGGGAGTCGGAGCTGGGGACTTGGAGCTGGTGTTGGATCTAGTGCTGGAGTCGGTGCTCGGGTCGGGGCTGGAGCAGGCGCCAGGGGGGGGGGGGCTTGGCGTCGGAACCTTAGCCGCGTCAGGGGGGTCGGACTTGGTGTTGGAGCTGGCGCCAGACGGTGCTGGGGAAGGGGCCGGAGCTGGCCCCGGATGGGGGGTCGCACGTGATATCAGAGCCGCGGTAGTAGCTGCACGGGAATCGGCGCTGAAGGGTCAACGCTGGCGGCAGTGCCGCTGGGGCCGGGGCTGGGTGCTAGAACTGGCGTTGGAAAAAAGGGTCGCCGCAGATGCCGTTGGAAGGGAGGTCGGAACCGGCGTCGGAGCCGCGGTAGTAGGCGCAGGGGAGTCGGAACTGGAGGGTCGTAGCTGATGCTGGCACTGGCGCTGGAATCGTTGCCAGATGCCAGAGTTAGCGTCGGATGTATTAACCGATGGTAGCACACGAAGTCTCCTCGGGTTTTGTTCGTATCTGGATAATCGTATCAACTCGTAAGATACGCAACCTTCGAACTGACTCAGGGCCCCCTGAACATCAAATGGCCATGGTACAGACATGTGTGAAACAATTGTTTGCAACACACCTGCTATGCTGAAATTGCTGAGCTGTGCGAATACACCAAAAAAATGTTCATGAAACTCTGTATAACGGGGGTTATATGACACGGGCTGAAGAAAAAAACAGCACATATCCGCACAGAAACGCATACTGCCACGGTCAGGGCTCTCCAGAATATCTCCAGGAAGCTCGGACACGGGAACAGGACCGAAACTGAAACATATTAAACGACGCAAACACCGCTGGCTCCCACCACAAACCAGTCTGACTCGAATGTGAAACTCACCGGCGGTGGCGACAGCGACGTCAATATCTCTTCAATGTATCAACTTACCCGGCGATCGGTCTATCTCGCCGGGCAGAAGCATGCACAAGGTGTGCTCCTCGGAGCACCCACTTACGAGTCGGCCCTCGCCGACCAAGTCAGTCATGTCGACCTCACCGACAATCATGTCACTCGTGTCGGCCACGCCGACCATCATGTCAAACTGGCCTCTCGCCAAAACGGCTTCGGGGAACCCCTAGATCCCGTCGCGAACGCTCCGTGAGCGTTGTCGGGCAGCGGCTGGAACCTCGGTGTGCTGAGGTCTTGGTTCTAGCGACGCTACGACTGGACGAGCACGTTGCGCGTCCTCTTCGGCTTCGTCGGCTTCGGGTCCGTCCTGGCCGCGGTGGTCGCGACACTGAGCTGCAGCGGCTCCGACTTGGGATCACGCACCTCCTTGATTTTCGTGTCGGACTCGGTCTGCTTGGTCCAGCATGCCCACCATGCTCCAACACGGAACCCGCAGCATAACGTCACCACAAGCCCCAGCACGAAACCAAAAACCATCATCTTCAGAATCATGTCGTTCCAGTCGTCTGTCATCGGTGGACTGAACAGCCCAATGCCTGACCCGCCGCACTGCTGCCTGTGCTAGCCGCAACGCTGCAGCCAGCTGCGCTCCACTTGTGCCAAACTGGCGCTGGGTCTTGGCTTTCGCCTCCGCCTTCGCCATCGTCGCAGGCGGTGTTTCGAAGGTGTCGTGTAGCGCCTCGCCGGCGTCATCCAGCTCCTTCTCGCGTTGCTCCATGGCTCTCTTGGGCAGCTTCTTGCCGGCCAAGAAGTCAGGATCATATCGTGGCGCATGCACTCCACGTCGTAGCACGGCGGCCATCATCTGACGGGCCGAGAGCTTGGTAGGTCCGTCCGCCGTCTGCTGCTGCGTATTCACCCATATCCAGGTGGCGCCGATCTCTGCCATCTGCTCGTTCACGATCTTCACCTCGATGGCCGCCCTCTTCTCCGCGATGCCCAGGCCTGCCGTCGCCGAGCGCGACGCGTCGTAGAGAAACTTCGCGTCAGTGATGAACGGCGACTCTCCCAGGTACACCATCGCCTCTTCGAGCTCCAGGTTAAGTCGCAGGCTCAACGCCAGGAAAACCTTCACCCACATTAGCGAATCCGCACCCAGGGCTGCTGCCTGTGCCTCTGCTGACAGCGAGCTCCTGCAAAGACGCTGCAACTTCTTCGAGGCCCACTCCATGGCCACGAAAGGTGCGGGGGTGCCGGCGTCGAGCTCGTCCGCGGGGCCAATGAAGATTGCGTGGTCTCCTTGCGAACTTCCGTCATGTCGGCTCGCCCAGCTCGCGTCGGTGTTGCTGCCACCTCGCAGTTGACTCTGGGCCTTGTTGAACCCGAAGTACAGCCCTACGTCCCCGTTGGCCTTCAGAAAGCGCAAGCCCTTGCTCGCACAGAAGAAGTCCTGCACGATGGCTCGACCAGTCGCCGAAGCTCGGAAGGGCACAGTAGCCGCTGCTATGATCACTCCTTGGGCTGCGGGCCACTGCAATTGTCCATTCAAGGTCCTGAAGTTCGTCAGCTCCTTCGGCGAAAGCGCGCTCGCGGGGTCGGCTCTCCGATGCTTCTCGACGATGATGGGCTTCACCGCATGCAGGTACTGCTCGAACTTGAGGGTCATGCCGTAGGTGCTCAGAGACTGCTGGACTTCGCCTCCAGTGAAGACCAGACTCGGTCCGAACTCCCACTTGCAGAACTTAAGCTTCTCGCTGAGCATCCCTAGCCGCGCATGGAAGCACTCGGTATCGTCAAGCTTCGCGTGGAGGTCCTGTTCGTTCGTCGCGCCCTCGCCGCGCCCGATGAAGTCGTCCACGCGCTTGCCGTTCAGGCCATCTACCACGTAGGTCTGGCCCTCGAAGCTGCGCGCGTCGAACGGATCGTCGTCGACCCTCGCCAGGCGCAGGGGCAGCAACAGGCGATCCTCGAGCTCGTGGTCCTTGAGCCTAGTCTCCTTCGCGACCTCTTCGGAACGATCGCGCCAAAGCTCGGGCGACCGCGGGTCACCAAAGCACGGCTTGATCATCTTGAACAGCCGTCCAGGCTGCAGGCCGATCTGGTAAGGGAGCATCCCTCTCATCTCCTTCGTCGGGCTCGCGTGCAGCTTGAGGCCACGTGCGATCGCGTCCTCAGCCTGCAGAAATGCAGACTTGACGCCCGCGCTGAACAACCTCCACTTCCTTAGAGACGCCCAGGGCATGGCCGTGCGTCGGCCATGCCTGCTGAGGGTCGGCGCCTTCATGTCGAGCTGGCCCTCGGCGACGTCGCGGTGCTTGAACACTTGATGGAGCGCGCGCGTTGGCCACCTTCTGCCCGTCCTTCGTCTTCCACTTGAGCAGGAAGCGCGGCGGGCAGTAAACTCTGGGATCCACGTTCGCCTCGCTGATGGGCTCCCAGCCGCCGCCGCGATTGAGAACCTCGAGGGCCTCCAGCATCGCCGCGTAGGACTGGCCCTTCTCCTCGGGCGTCAGCCTCCCCTCCACGATGGCGGGGGCTGACCTCTTGAAGGCCAGCATTTAGACCGTCTCGGTGGACTCCACCAACAACAGCACCTCATCGCCCACCTCGTCGGCGAGCGCAGCCTCCTCGCGCTGCGGGGCGAGCTGCGCCCACGACAGGCGGGCGCGCTTGGCCAGCGGGATGCCGTCCAGCTTCTGTCTCCTCGACAATCCTCTTAGCCATCGCCGCGATGTGGAACCTGCAAGGCTCCTGCGCAGCGCTGCCCGACGCGCTGGCGCTGGCCGCAGCTGGTCCGCCATCCCGGTGCTCGCCAGCCGTCGTCGGGTGAGGACCTCCAGGAGCCGCCGCGGCAGCTCCTCCTGTCGGGCCGTCGGTCTCGTCCGTCTCCATGGGCGCCTGGCCGCATGGTGGCTGCTGCTCGCCCATGTCGCCCATGTGGTCGTCGTGCTGGGGCAATCGCCCCTCCTCGGCGAGGTACTGGTACTCGCAGGTTCCCTTCGTCCGTCTGAGCACGCTCCTGAGCTTCTCTCGATCTTGCTGAGCGGGCTCTCGGGATCCTCGCTGCGTCCTTCTCGTTCGCGGGCCTCGCCTGGCAGCTCGGGGCGAAGCTGCCCCACGGTGCAGCGGTGGATCGCGCGCCCGTGGGTCGCCCACACCACCGAGGAGTGCATCGCGTTGTCCTCGTTGACCTTCGCCTCCGCTGCTACCGCCAGCGCTGGGCCGTGCAAATGGTTATTCTCCAGCCCCTGCGTCTGCTCGGGTCGCCAGAAGCAGACCCGCTCTCCGATCTCGTAGTCCCTCCTCGTCGAACAGCTGCGCGCCAGCAGCGCCGCTCGCACGGCGCGCGAGCAATGGGCCTCGATGAAAGTCGTTACAAGTCGTTACGGCAGCCATTCGCCTGATCATCAGCTCGTGCACCACGGTCTTGGGGTCGACCAGCGCGGCCTGGCCCGACAGGCCGAAGTCCTCGTCGCTGAGGGCGCCAGTGACCTTGGGCTGCGCCCCCGAGACCAGCGCCGCGGGCGAGAACCCGTGCGCGCTCCGCAGGGTGCCCGGCTGGCCGGCGGTCATCCTGAGGGCGGCCTTAAGCGAGTCGTCTGGGAAGTGCAGATGGTACTTGCTGAGCTGCTCCCTCCTGACCGCGTGGTTGCGCCCCATTATGCCTTGTGCGCACCCTTCGGGGTCAGGGCGAGCTTGATGCCGTGCTTGCTCATCCAGTCGCGCGTGCGCTTGGCCGGGTGCGAGCCCTTCCCCACGTCCATGCGCGTCGCCTCAGGCTTGGCCCAGCTGATCCACAGCTTCTTCCATAGTTTCGACTCATTCAGGAACGTCTCCTTCGAGATCGCGTAGTCGACCTCGCAGCGCGTAAACTCGCCCAGAATAACCAAGATAGTCATCTCCCTTTTCTTCCACGTGATGTAGTAGACGTCGGCGCAGACCACCTCGTTGAACCTCTTGGCCCTCGGCAGCACTGCGACGCGCACCGCTGGGGGCCTCTGCCCGCCTAGACAGATCCCGCACCGGAAGAGCCTGGCGCACTGGATCCACACTGCCGGGGCACCCGCATGCTGCGAGGCGACCGCCAGCGCTGCGTTCGAAGGGCGGCCTAGGCTGACATGTGCACGCCTTACTGTTCGAATCGCCGACACGTTGAAACGCTTCGTCAGCTCCTGGATCATGTCGGTGCACTCGATGGCGTCGATGTCCTTGTTGACCTCCTCGGCCGCGTTGATGTCGCTGATGTCGTCGGCCATGCCTTGGTAGGCGATCAAGTAGGCCATGATCCTCGCCATCGGTCTCGGGTTGTTCTGAGCTGGGCAAGCTTGCCCATTTCGATCACGTGGTCGTCCGCGCACGCGCATGCCAGGGCCGCGTGGCGATTGAACTCCATGTTGGTCGACTGCAGTCTCCTGGGCTTCTGGCATGGCATGTTTTTGCCCTGGATCGTGCACTTCGCTCCTAGCCTGCACTGATCGAGCCCGCAATGATATTCTGGCAACTTCTTCCACGTCTTCATCCGTCAATGTAGCCCCTGCCACGGACCTTCGACATGCGCGCGTCGTTTTCCGTTCTGCTGCCTCACAAACGCCGTCAGAATCATCTTGGGAAGCGCCCGCTCTTCTCGCTCCCTGGCACTATTGATCTCCTTGGCGCACCCCTTCAGAGATCTTCTCGTTCACGTGCTGCCAGGAGCACTAGTGCATGCGCGGGGGGGCGAAGAAGATATCGTCTGGCTTGTCGATGTCGATCTCGTTCAGGAAGTCACGGATCACGGTGGGCTTGAAGACGCCCCATCCGTCCTCGACCCTGAACTCGATCACCTCGATCTGCGGGAACTCGAGCAGCTCCTGCGACATAGCCCCCTGGTCCACGAAGACCTCTCAGATCAGCATCTTGCGCGGCCCGCGCAGCGTGTCCTTCATGTCGTACGATGCCTGCCCCAGCGCCAGGACCAGGCCCGAGTAAGTGTCCGCATCCATCAGGTGCCGCTCTGGGCCTATGACCTCCTCTGTGGCCAGGGTCTCGTCGTCTCTGCCGGTCTCGAAGCATTCCGTCCGCGTCAAGGTAAATTGCGTCGGGGTCAAGCGTCGACGTATCTCCGTCGTCGCCATCGTCGCCGTTGACCGACTCTCCTTCGGTGTCCTTGTCTGCCGAGTCGCTGCTGCTGCCATCGCCGTCGGCGGGGCCCCCTCGTTCACGGCGCCCTCGACGTTGCGCCCAGCTCCGCCCAGCAGGTCGACGATGAAATGGCCCTTCTCGTCACGCTCGGACTTAATCCAGCCCTTGTCGGGGAGGCCCCTCACCGTGAACGTTCCAGCTCGGGGGCCCTGGACCAAAACCCACTCCTCCATGCAGGGTCGCGCGATCAGCAGCGGCGCCCAGCCGTCGACGAGATGGATCACGATCTGCTTCTTGGCGCCAAACGGGCACACCGTCAAAGTCACCGCTTGCATGGCCTCCAGCGTCTTGCCATCTCCGAATCGGAAGCGTCGATCACTCTTGCTATACTCGACCTCATGTAACAACTGTCTCGCGCGTAGGAGCTCTTCGCACTGCCCCCGCACTTTGTCGCCCATGACGGGTCGCGTAGCACCTCCATCGCTGATGCCCTTACCGGCGGTCAGCTAGGAGACTTCCTCGGTCGAGTTAGCAGACCCAAGCGTCTCAACATCCTCCACCACGCGTGCCTCGCCGTCGGGCTTGGTGAAGCCTCCGCGCCTGAAGCGTTTGAACCTCGGGCCGCGTTGCCGGGTCGCGCCCGCCCCTGTCGAACATGCTGATGATGGCGCACCCTTGCCAGACGCTCCTTCTGAGGCCTGAGCGCTTCTCGTCGCGGCGGTCCGAACCCTTTGCCGCGTTCGGTCACGCGCAACAGGGGCCCTGGGCAAGAGCGCCATTTGGTGCGCGGCTTTGGGGGGGCCACGGGGGGGCCAGAAAAGAACGCGCAAGACGCCGCGACCGCGCCGCGCTCGGCGATCGAGGGGCCCGGCGAGCTAGTGCCACAGGTCACTCCGGCGAAGGGTCACTCATACGCGTTGTCTACGCGTCCTTTGCCTTTGCCGCGCCCTTTGCCTTTGCCCGCGCCAGGCCTCGTCGCTCTCGCGGGTTCTGCGCGGCCGTCGCGCTGGTTGTTGTTATGTGGGGCCAGGGCGACGATTGGGTGGAATCCTCTCGACATGGCGATCTCCGCCACGCGCTTCTTCGCGCCCACGAATCTGAGGTAGGCCTCGTCGCGCGCCACTTGGGGCTCCTCGATATCCTGCTGTAGCTCTTCCGCAACGTCGGCCTCCTCCTCGTTCTTCTCGTCGTGCTCTTCCTCCTCAAGGTGCGAGTCTTCGTAGCTCAGGCCTCGCCCCCACATGCAATCGTTCGTGTAGTTCACATCGCCCTTCAAACTCTGACCGACTAGCATCTTCTCTACTCGCTTCGCATCTCGCTTGTCGGGCATCGCTTCGGCTCCATACGTGTCGAGCAGGGCTTTCTTCACCTTTGTCCAACGGAGGCCGTCTACGCACTGACTTCGGACCTGGGCGGCGCCCGATGGGGGTGTAGCCGCTCGCGCGAGGAGGTGCCAGCCCGCCAGCATGTCTGGGATCTCCATCCCAGCCTCCTTGAGCTTCCTGAGCTCTCTCTTTCTCTCTCTCTCTCTCTCTCTCTCTCTCTCTCTCTCTCTCTCTTGTGGCGTAGGCAGGACAGCTTCATTGTCTCCTTCTCTTGGAGAGCGAACTTGCCGAAACAGAGATCTGCACGGGCTGGCAGCTCAGTCTCGTTGACGTACTTGTAGTACTCGTCCAGCACCTGGAACAATGGCCTGAAAGCCTCCTCCGTCTCTATCAAGTCCAAGTCGATATCCTCCGTGGCCTCCGCGGCATCGCCCTGTAGTTGACAAGAAACGCTCCCTCACTGACAGCAGTGGTGCCGCGCTTCTTACAGCAACACTCGAAGACCTCCAGCTTACGTCGGAATACTCGATAACCGTCGCTCCTCAGCAGCTCATAACTCGGCGCCGTCTTCGACAGGCCTGCGTCTAGGCCTCGCCCTCCTCCGTCCCAAGTGGAATTCTCCTGCCGATTCCACCAGCCTTGCAAGCCGTTCCAATCCGTGTAGTTGGCCTCGTCGCCGTCCACGCTGCCCGGCGGGGTGCGACTGCCCTCCGCGACGGCGTCGGCGGGCGCGGCGGCTGAGGTTGCCGGCGGGCCGCCAGGCGGCGGCCTGACCGGGGGCGGCGCGGGAGGCGCGCCGTCTGGCATGGCGGCGACGGAGGAGCCGGAGAGACTGGATCTCCGGCTCCTCTACCAATATCAACCGATGGTAGCAGACGCAGTCTCCTCGGGATGTGTTCGGTAGAACAGATTAGCTTGATGATCGTATCAACTCGTAAGATACGCAACCTTTTAACTGATTCAGGGGTCCCTGAACATCAAATGGCACTGGTACAGACATCTGTGAAACAATTGCTTGCGACACGCCTGCTATGCTGAAGCTGCTGACCTGTGCTAATGCACAGGGCAACGTACATGAACCTCGGTATCCGGGTTATATTGACAGGATGGGGGGGTCGGACTGGAATCGGGGCCGTGGAAGCGGCAGGGGCGCCGGAGCTGGGGAGTCGAAGCAGGCGTCGGAACTGGCGCTGGTACTCGGACTG